AGCTGCTGGCAGGTGGTGATCAGCAGAAGTAGCCTGCAGTACTGCACCCTAACCACTGCACTACCACGGCTCTATTTCTTAATAAGGTAAAGGTAAAGGTTCTCCTTGCACATATGTGTTAGACGTTCCCAACTCTAAGGGGCGGTGGTCATCTCTGTTTCAAAGCCGAAGAGCCAGCGCTGTCCAAAAATGTCTCTGTGGTCATGTGGCCGGCATGACTCAACACCAAAGGCACACAGAACACTGTTACCTTCCCACCAAAGGTGGTTCCTATTNACTGTTGTGTTTTTAATAATGATGTATTGTCTTTATGTTAGAAATTGTTTGTCCTCCCCCCCCCCCTTTTTTTTTTTGAACTGTGAGCCGCCCTGAGTCCCCCCAGGGAAAAGGGCGGCATACAAATAAAGGGAAAATGAAAAATGAAAATGAAACCGGTTCTAAACGGCACTCTAGATTTGTGGAAACTCTTCTATAGAAGAGGCTGGAACTAGTAGGAACACACCTCTGCTCTGCTCTATTGCTTAGTCCATATAGGTAGTCCTCAATTTACATCAGGTCATACGGTGACCATTCAATGTTACAACAGCAGGGGACAATATGACTTATGAGCATTTTTCACAGTTTGCAACATCCCTGTGATCATGTGACCAAAATTCATATGTGTGGCAACGGGTTCATATTTATGACTGTTGTTGTGTCCCAAGGTCATGTGGTCACCTTTTGCTACCATGTGAAAGCAAAGTCAATGGGGAAGCCAGATTCACTTAACAACCGGGTTACTACAGAGCCGTGGTTGACACAGTGGTTAGAATGCAGAACTGCGGGGGTAACTCACTGCTCACTATTGCAAACTAACTCTGCCAACTGCCAGGAGTTCAATTCTGACCGGTTCGAGATTGACTTAGCCTTCCATCCTTCCGAGGTCGGTAAAATGAGGACACAGATTGTTGGCTGACTCTGTAAACCACTTCGAGAGGGTTGTAAAGCACTATGAAGCAATATAGAAGTCTATTACTACTGCGATTACTAACTTAAAATGTTGAAAAAATATACAGCTATTGCTGGTTGTGGTAGTAACACAGCTGATTTTCTCCATTTTGGCACATGAAGCTATCACAGAGGATATTTTAGAATCTCTAAGTCCCTTACTGCAGTGATTCACTTAACAACTGTAGCCAGAAAGGTCGTAAAACTGGGCAAAATTCATAATACCAGTTGTATGACTGTTCGGAGTATTACTGAAGTTACGAAATGTCCCTAGGTTCTTTGGGGAATAATCGGGTCGTGTGGGGTCCTTGGTGCTCTCTGAGCTTGGTGGTTTTCTTGCAGACGTTTCATTACCCAGCTAGGTAACGTCATCAGTTTGGTAATGAAACATCAGTAAGAAAACCACCAGCCTCAGAGAGCAATAAGGACCTCACAGTTCAACCATGAGCGACAAATATTCTCCTTTATAAGTTTCAGAAATTCGTGAATGGCTAAAAAAAAAAAAAAAAAAGGAAAAGCATCTGGGTCAGAGGTGGTATTCAGCCAATTCTGACAGGTTTTGGAAAACCAGTAGCCGAACTTTTGAGTAGTTCAGAGAACCGGCAAGTAGGCTGGCCCCGCCCCTGCTTCCTCCCAGCTGAACTTCTTTTGTTGCCCTGAACAGGAGAACGAAGCTGGAAAGCAGGTTAGTGGGGTGGGGAGGGAATGGGGATTTTAACAATAGCAATAGCAATAGCAGTTAGATTTATATACCGCTTCA